GTTGTTGCTGTTGTTGTTGTTGTTGTTGTTGTTGCTGTTGCTGTTGTTGTTGTTGTTGTTGTTGTTGTTGTTGTTGTTGTTGTTGTTGTTGTTGTTGTTGTTGTTGTTGTTGTTGCTGTTGCTGTTGTTGTTGTTGTTGTTGTTGTTGTTGTTGTTGTTGTTGTTGTTGTTGTTGTTGTTGTTGTTGTTGTTGTTGCTATTGTTGCTATTGTTGTTGTTGTTGCTGTTGTTGTTGTTGTTGTTGTTGTTGTTGTTGTTGTTGTTGTTGCTGTTGTTGTTGTTGTTGTTGTTTTTGTTGTTGTTGTTGTTGTGACTTTTCTCAAGGTTTTTTTGGCAGTGCGCGAGTCTCCTACCCATTTCTCTACACTATCGCAGCAGATTGTCTTTTTCTTGATTTTTTTTGTGTTCTCTCTTTTGACCGCTTTTCTCCCGTAAATTCTGAAAGCTTAAATCAAAAAACTTTTTCTCGAATTGTGTCCTTTTAAATCCAACGGTTCATTCGAGTTTTCAAGATTCCACTGGATAATTTTGAAAAATGTAGTGCCAGAACGTATTTTTACGTGGTATCCTTTACATGGTATACTGCGTAGGTTTTTCTGATATTATAGGTACACCTCTATGATGTTAGGAGTAACTTGAGACTACAAGGTAGGATAGATCGTCCAACAATTTTTCTCCGGTCGAGACTTTTTTCTGAATTATGTTCCCATTACACTGCAGTTAGCGTAATGAGCCAAGCGTGAATAATAGCAAAACGATTTACGACACACTGTTTTTCATGTAGTTAAATCAGGTACAAGAAAACCAGTTGTACAGACTAAAGTGTATTGATCAAAAACAAAAGAAAAAGTAGTTTTGGAGTATGTTTGTCATGGATAATATTATTTTTTGTTAGTTAATTAACTGACATTAAAACTCACAATATAAAAAATTGATACTGGCACTCGACTGAGTGATGCGTCAAAAGCAAATCAAAATTAAAGTTTTTGGTAGTTTTAATTTTTTGTTTCGAAGTTTGTCACCACTTTTTTGTGTTATACAAGTAATTTTTTTGTTTGTTTTGACGAAGTATGATTTTCAAAAAATTTTTCTGAGCGTCACTCATGAAAAGAAGATTGAAAAAAATCATAATTATTGCAAAGCTTCTAACATTTTTTGTTCTATTTAAAACTGAGTATGATATTTAGCAAAAAAGATTCCTCGTAAAAAAAGTAATTTATCAAAAAATGAAATGCCAAGTAATTTTAAGGACAGTCGATACACTCAGCGATTTGTTTGATACGAGCTGTTTATTTTGCAGAATTTTTTAGTTTTTTGATTAACCAGTAAATCTTTTTACTCGTTTCTGGACCATATTAATATTCCAACAATCCAGATAAATTTCAAAATTATTCATAAAGATTAATTATAGCTGCTCGTATCAAACAGATCGCTGAGGGCTCCGACTGTCATTTAATTTACCTTGCATTTTAATTTTTTGATAAATTACTTTTTCAACAAAGAAAATTTTTTGCAAAATCAAAAACTCAGTTTTTAAAAGAACCAACAATGTCAGAAGCTTTGCATTCCTTTTAAAATAGTGTTAAATCAGGAAAAGCCCCAATTGCATTTGAAAAACCTTTTATATGGATTTTTCCAGGTTTATCTTTTGATCGACATTTTTTGCCGTGTGATTTAGAATTTTTTGATATTAAATTTAGCGAAGCTTGATCACTAGTTTGTCCTCCTATTTATCTTTGTTATAACTAACTAGGAAATCACCCAGTTCAGATTACTGTTAGTTTTTGCCACTTTTTAAGATCACATTCAAGTGTGGTTCAGTAATTTTGCAACTGAGTAATGAATGTTTTTTTTTAATTTAAAGGGAGGAGTGTGATAGCAAAATAGCTTATTTACTCATTTAATGCTACATTCTTTTATAAACACGCTTGACGAGAACTTTTTGCCTTTACGGGGTTCAGTGGAAACCGTACTTTTTTAACATCTGAACATAGTTTGAAATCTTAAACAAATTTTCCAAGAAATGCACAAGCTTTTGGGTTCTTCTTGGCATCATCCCGAAAAACTGAAATTTGAAAAATGATCTGAATGATTCTCATTAGAATCTCCATTAGCCATAAAATAATTTAGGCTGGTTGATAAATTTCCACAGGTTTCTCTTTTGACTGTTTCAATAAAAGATATCAGATTTTAAGTACTCGAACTTACAATTTGTTACGACAACTCTAAAATGAAGTTTGTTCAGAAACCATAATTATACCAATGAAATTTGTATTTTTGCTGAACGCGTGCAAGTTTTTCTAGTGTTTTTTGTCTTGAGGAAAACATTTTTCAGCAATTATTTGTTTGAAATTTGCTAAAATATGCCAGAAATGTTTTTTCAATCAAAAAATTTTGTCATATTGAAAGAACTGTTAAACATTATGACGAATCGTTTTTGATTCATTCTCCGATTTCAACGTTTTGATGGAAACATTTATCAGCAGTCTTTTTCCACTCATTTTAAAAAGTTGTTTGTAAGTCTTAAAAAATATACAAAAATCTAATAGTTTTAATGGTTTAGGAAGCGTGCAATTTTCCCCCAGTTTCTGTCGTCTTGAAAGAAACAGTGTCTTATCTGAACTTTTGCTAAATTTATGCTTGAGACTACAAGAAACTATGACGTATTAACTACTAAAAAAACTATTTGTGATTTATTTTCTCAAATGATTTTCAATTCCATCACAATCCGTGATTAGAATTTTTGATTTTGTATCTGTAGCGGTAATGAAGCTGTGAACAACATTCTGAACATAGAAATTGTATTGAAACTTTTGCCAGAAAAACTGGACAAGCTGATTTGAAAAATGCATTCAAAAGCCTCCATTATTGCACCTAATACGTTTCAATCGAATTTGTAATCATAACTTCAAAAATGAGGGCATTATTTTCATCAATTATGTTGTAAAAAAAATTGTTTTCCTGTATGTGGTCAACCTCACGCGTTCATTGTGCCAACTGACTGTGACATGGAAATTGTGCCAACTGACTGTGTCAAAGGGCACTTCGGACGTCTGGGACATAGTTTGAAAACGGGAGTTATAGTTTGGCTTGTTGAGGCTGGCAGTCCGCGTGGGCACTACCCACTCGCCCTTATAATCAAATTGCTCTAAAAATAAAAATTATGTTTAAATTAAAACATAATTTTTATAATAAAAATTATGTTTAAGATTTCAGTTTGCTGATGATCTAAGTAATGTATCATCTTGAACCCTCCGGTCTGACCGAAAGAACTGCCATTTGCTTATGGCTGAATTCTCCTTATTTCATCATAGAAATGTTCTTCGTAGATTCTATCTCAAAAACTTTTTGCTAAACTCTCTATCTTGTCGTAGAACCTACGAAATTTTTCGCAGATTAGAAAAATGCCTTTTAAAAAAAACTTGTCGGTGCCTAATTTCCGGGTTGACGTCCATAGAAGGAAAACCTTTATAATACTATTTCATATATTGCGTCTATGGAAAAAAGCTTACCATACAATTTTCATACAAAATTTAAAAATTGTTTTGCAGATTCTTATCACAAATTTGTATTCTATTTGGCTCATTTGAAGCTTTCTGGTCATGTAAAATTGATAAAAAAGTGTATATCATAAGATGATTATCATACAATTTTCATGGAAGAAAATTGTATGATAAGCATTTTGTTATAGAAGATTTTTTCTCAAAAATCTCCCTAGAAACGTGTTTCGGTAATTCCAAATGAGGTTACTGAGGGCTTTCAATGACAAAGAGCAATTTAGATACCAAAAACATGGTTTTAGTTTTGTGCCAAAAAATGCTATTCATATAATTTTCATATAGGAAACTGTACGATAAGGATTTTTTAGATAAAAATTAGAAAATTCAAAATTCAAATGAAACTTTTTGGGCAATTTCAAAAAAGTTTAATGGGGGTTTTCAGTGATTGAGATGCATTTACTGTCAAAAAGATAATTTCAGTTTCGGTCGGAAAAATTAGTATCATATAGTTTTCCTATATGAAAATTGTATGATATGCCTTTTTTCTAGAAAAAAAAATTTAATTTTGAGGTAAAATTTTTTTTATCATTTTTCTGGTTGCAATCTTGCTTTTGTGCTCAAATGTAAATTTTGCAAAAAAAAAATTTGCAAAAAAATTTGATTTTGTTATTTTGTTTTATATGCTGAGAGAAATAAAAGTTTGTAAAAAAAAAACAGACCTTTTTTTCAACCACCAATATTTTCAAACTGAAAATTATCTAGCCATATACAAATAGTTATATGTTTGGTATATAACTCCATGTGAAGTGTTAACATTAATTTACATGGATAAAAACATCAAATTTAGTTTATCTGCGCGGTAACTGCCAGTTACACTCTGAGTTTTCTTATGATAAAAAATCCTTGACTAGTGTTTCCGATGAAACACAAAAAGTCAATACAAAAAATTTTTGTGTTTTAATTTATGTAAATATCCTTATCATACAGTTTCATAGTAAGGAAAAAAATGCATATCAAACAAGTTCATGATCAAAAATTGCTGTGATAAAAGTTATGGCGAAACGCGTGTTATTTAATTCAAAAATGTGGCAAAAAATCTTTTTCATAACATTTCATAGTGTGGAAAAAAACTTATCTCTTATCTTGCTAATTCATTAGTTTTTTTCATGTGTGAAATATTATTAAATAGTATGATAAGCATTTTTTCATATTATGAAATAGAATGACAAGCGTTTTTGCCAATCCGGGTTGTTCTCTTGTCATAAAAAATTTGTTTCGGGGTTTGAAGATGAAAACTTCGAGCCATTTGCAAAAACGTTGGCAAGAATTCAATTGAAATTAATTTGACTTTTTGTGTGAGCTTCTCTGAAAAATGTTGGCGTTTGGTTTGAATATGATTGCGAAAACCGCGTGAGGCTGTTGACATGATAGCTTCTCCATGCTTGTAAATTTTCAAATGGAACAGTCATTGTTGTTATGAATTAAACTAATATTTTAGATATGAATTTACTCGCATGCATCTTTGCGTCAGTCGTAATACTGGAAATACGGACAGATACTTGTCCCACGGGATATGTCCGAGTCCCGGGGGCCGATTCTGGTTTTTGTTACCTGGTCGACATAGCTAGTGGACCAGTGAGTCAACTGGAAGCTAAAGAGATCTGTGAAAACAAAAGTTACGACTCATATCTGGCTTATCCAGTGGTCAAGGACGAAGCTGAGGCTATCGCCAACTGGGTTGTCGCACAAGGTGTGCCGTCGGATGGCATTGCGGGGTTCTGGACAGTTTGGGAAAGGTTTGTCTACGCACCTGCTGAAAATGATGGCAGCGTGAGCACAAATGCCCAAACGATTAGAAAGGATCGTAACCTCTTTCGATCTCAATTGGCTAACGGTGAAAAGAGGCGTGTTTCACAAAGCATTTATTTATTATTATTCAAAGTTAGTTTGTGTAAACGATTGAAGAAAAATGGCTCCTGAGTGCTAACAATAGATACGGTTTTCATGATTTGGTCCAGATATTGTCAACAAACGGCAATTGTCATTTTACAACTAAAATGCTCCTACGGCGCAGCTATTTTCTTTCCGGAAAATCTATATAATTGTTTTTGTACTGCTGAAACTCATTTACATTGACCTTCTCTCACTCGCTCGCATCATAAATGACTCAATTTAATGACTGGTTTTTGAATGTGTTAAGTGATAATCTATCTCACATCTGGAACCAGTTCTAAACTAGAGTTTAGAATTGGTTTTAAATATAATTCTCTAATTCAATTAAATATTCTTAACTAACCAATCATATTCCATAACTAACATTTACATTTATTTGTAAATGCTGAAACTACTTGTAGTTTCAGCACCAGAGCAATATGAATTAAACTTAGAGTACAGTTGTTCTCCTTCTGGAAACTAACTCGCATAAACCAGTATACACTAGATCTATTGAGACTAGGAGAAATAAGAGTAAGAATAAGATCGGTATTAGACTAAGAAGTTGCACGAATCTATCCGACCGAAAATAGGATAGCGTGACGAGCAGACGGTGTACTTTATCTAAAATTACTCTATGAATACAATAAAACATACCTAACTCATCTGGTGCGACCAAAAGTCTCGGACAAGACCTTAACTAACTTAGATTTATAAAAAAAAAGATTTTAGAATAAAACAATTGCAAAATTGCAAAAATGTTACATGAAAAAGACAATTTATTAGAAAAGTCTCTCCGACTCAATAGATCACCGCCAATTTTTCAAACAATACGAGAAATACCAGATATTGCGAGAAGACCAAGGAGAAGGCACGATCTACAATTAGGATGAAATCTACCGATTCATTTCATGACAGTACAACGTAAACCGGAACAAACATAAATATTTAGACTCCTTTCCGCGGTAACTTTAGATTTTCATTTTCTGACATAAAAATTAAAGAAATACTTCAAGAACCTTAATGGTGCTAAACCTTAGATTATGCAATAACAACTGATAAAACTGATAAAAAACAACACAAGTCGTTCCCTCCAAAAAACCTGCAGTAAATTAAAACATTTTGAATAAATTAATTTTTTGAATAAAAATACAAAAATTAGTTAAAACAAAAACTCATTGTTAGTTTTAATAATCTGTCATATCATTTCTTCATACCAGCTTCATCACCTAAAAATAACAGCAAACCGCACAAGGCTAACATCATCTAAATCTTAATCTTAAACTTTTAACACTCAAACCTTTACAATAATTTTTATCAAGGCTTATCCTTGTTTTCTCTGAAATTATTTTAACTTCAATAACTGATCATCAAGTCTTTCCTTGAATCTTTAAAGTCACTTAAATTAAATTTCTTTATTTTCTGATCATCAAGGTTTTCCTCGGATCAAACGGAACAATTTGCCCCCCCCCCCACACACACAATTTTAAAGTGTCTAACGACCTCAAACGTCGATTCACTACCCAACCATCAATAGAAATTTTTGAAAGAACTAACCATTTTAATTAGGATAAACAGTGAAGAATTTCGGTTACTCATCCTTCACTTGATTTCCTTCATCTTAGATTACCCAGGTTAAAATACTTAAATGTAGTAAGTCATAAAGTAGTATCTAACGATCTACTAGCGTTTTAATTATACCTGAACCTTGTGGGTTGATTTTTTTTTCTCCAGCCGTTGATCACAAATGACATCCCTTAAGTAAGATTAGGTAATTCTGTCTTAAATTAGAACTTAGTCACGAGAAGTAAAAAATAATTCTCACGAATCGATATACTACTCTCTCTCCAACCCGTAAAACCACGACAAGTGGTTATGCCCCAAGATAAGATAACCACACAAAACGCGTAAGAACTGACAGTTTAAGAAATTAAAAATCGTATTACACAAAAAATTGTTTAATTAAAAACGAAAGATACGACCTTTTAATCACTCCACACAGACAAACAATAGGATATATAAGATCAAAACGAAAAACACGAAAAAAAAGACAATAAAAACCAATTATCAAAAAACGATTTTCAAAACGAAGAAACGCAGTCTCAGAATCAGACACAAACACAATACAGGAAGTTCAAGACTTAAAAGATTACATAAGCAAAATTAACCCGATCGATGACCAAACATAATTTTCCGATTCAGAAGCCACAACACATGTAAACAAGAAGCCACAACATGTAAACAAGAAGCCATAACATGTAAACAACACATGTAAACAAGAAGCCAAAACATCTAAACAAGAAGCCACAACAAGAAGCCACAACACATGTAAGCCCATGTAAACAAGAATTTCCTGAAGTACAAATAAAACGACAAAGCCTTGATCATTACAAAAAAAGATATATGTAATATCACATCACAATATCTTGTATTTACAATCGAAATCGCATGACCTAAACTTTAATTTTAAACACGATCTACGAAAAATACTAGCATAGTTTATAATTGATTTTTCAGTCCATAATCTTGATCTTATATCACTAGCAAGAAAAAGTTTTCAACCACAAAATTTAGACGATTAAATTATATCGGCAGACGAAACATATTATGTTCGAGAGCCTGAATGGTCTCATCCATCATTTATTAAAATACCAACTAACATCTCAAGTCAAGCAATTACCACAGTTTCCATTAACAGTGTTCAAGTTAGAATAACTCCACTTACTATTGATGCAACACCTATAAACTATAATTCAGTATTCACCTATAGAGAAGGAAATAATAGTTTAAAATCTACATTTATTAATCAAAAAAATTTAAACAGAACAAGAAATCTTACACAACAAGATAGTCAAACTCCATCACATTTCGTACCTGAAGAAATAGTTGAAACAATGCCAACAACAGCACCACAAATCATTTCTCCTATTCACCCTACACTTACAACTCCAAAAAAAAACAGAGTGTTTCCACAAACAACTATACAATCGACAGTGAAACCTTCAGTTATTCTAAAAAATTCACAAATGGACAATTAAACATTTAGACCAGTAACAACATCACGACAAACAAATAAGCAAAAGACATCAAATAGAAATAAATTCTCAGAGCATAACAATAATTTTTTCCAAAAACCCAAAACATCAAAACCCCCTAAAATGAATAGTCAAAATCAATCACAATCACAAAAAAAAAGTACCACAACAATTTTCTCAATCAGTATTCTTTAACGATCAACCACGAAAAACACTAGACCGTAGCAAAAATTATCCATTTTTTCAACAAAATAAAAACGTAATAAATTAACATCATATTAGGAATCAACCACATTTCTCAGAAGATGAAGAATGTTATTATCAAAGTCAACGATTTAATACAAATCATCATCACAATAACTGGAACATCGATCAACCAGGTTCTTTCTATCAACCAGATCTTTTCGAACCATATACACGAAACAAACAAAGGCAAACAAGACATCACCCAACGTCATATAATAAAAATTTTCAGTCACAAAACCCAATGATAACACAAAATTACCAACCAATTCAAAAGCTAATGAAAGCCCACTACCATTTTATCTACAACAATACGAAATAACAAAGACTCAACTTACAAACTTTTCTCAAATACCAAATGCCGCCGAATCACTACAAACTACTATGAATCCATATCTTATGGGTGGATTCTCAATATCTTCAAAATAGGTCACTAAAGGTATTCAAAGGAACAGATCCCGAATACTCAGTAGAAAATTATTTGAATGCAGTCACAGCAAATTTGATTTTGAATGTAGACTTGAATCAGTAAATACTCCACTTCATCAAATTGGATACATAGATGCACATCTCTAATCCAAACCACATTTGATGGCGCAGCCCAAAATTGGTTTTCAGTTTTACCTATAGATAGTAAATCAGATTGCGTAAGTTTCATACCAGAATTTTCAAAAGCGTTCGACTCAGAAAAAAAACAAACAACACCAAAATTTTTATGCATGAAAAATTGTAGAATCCCAAACAACACAATTAAAACACTTGCAGAAAGAATTGAAACACTAGTAAGAAAAGCATATTCCCTTAATACGCAAGTTAATAAGAACACAAAAATTACAAAAAAATTTTAATGAAGACTCTAACACCTCAATTACGAAAAATAGCAAAAAAGAAGAGAGCATCACATCCATCTTCAATTCGAAAACCCGATATAGACTTCAGAAAACTAGTAGATAAACTAGAACAAGCCGAATTCACAATGAAACTGGAAGAAACAGGAAACTTAAAATTACATCTGTAAAAAACGTTCAAACCACTACTTCACAGCTAAATAATATTCATGACACTGAACTAGCTGAAAAATATCACTCAAATATTAAATATCTACGGGAAAAACCCAAACTTTAAAAGCAAACCATCATTCAAAAACTGGTGTAACTATTGCCGTAGTTTCTGACACAGCATTGCTGAATGTAGACAAAAACAACAAGATAACCAGAACAAACCCCAAAACATTGAAAACCAAATAAATCATTTTACTAATACATGAAAAAAGACCAAAATCTACAAAACAAAAACATTCACAGTAACAATAGTTCAAGAAAACCACTTCATGTTAACTATAATGTCTCTAGACAAAAATCAGCCTACAGATATAACTATCGTGGAAGATCTCCAGATCAAAGAAAATCAAAAAATTTCTCACACAATACATATAGTCGATCAAACAGTCAAAACAATCGAATGAATTGTTCAACATCAAACTCAAATAGAAGCAACTATTCAAATATAACAGGAATCGTTAAAACTCAAACCCCCGAAACAAATAATATTCAATTGATCGTTCTAGAAACTCCTCATACAATAGAAACAGAAACTATCTAAACAACAGGAACAGATAATATCAAAATAACAGATAACGATACTATTCAAATAA